CCCGGGAAAGTGGAACTTTTATGTGTGTGTTTTGGGGAGGGGGGGGGGGGGGGAACTCCTTTTCTTGTCCCGGTCTGTTTGCTCTGACGTGCTGCTCTTGCATTTGTTTCTTAAAAGTAGGCTTATCTGTTGTTCTGCTACTTGACCTTTTTTTTCCACGCCTCAGTCAAAGCATGCACTTAGCTACTGGAAACAAATTTTGATCTTGATTCTGTTCCAACACGGTCCTTGTTCTGCACAATATTCACTTACATTGTTTCTGCCTTGTCTTACTTTCCACAGGAAGCACATTTTTTTTTGTTTTTGTTTTAAAAACCAAACAGATAGGCTTATCTCTTGTCTCTGTGCTATACTATTGCTCAGAGCAAATAGTGTGTGCCAACGCCTTGTCTCCGGTTGTTGCCACAGAGCATAGCTGAAAAAACCCCCCGTCGCTTGACTGACAGCTTCAGCCTGTATTCTTTAAGTGCGGGTTTGATGACAGCAGCAGCAAATGCGGGTGAGCTGAAGGAGCGCGTGGTCCCATGCCTCTTCTGTTGTTTTAACCCGCTGAGCGCTGTAGCGCTGCAGGAAGCTTTTGACTTCACGTACTGTCGGTAGCAGTAAGTCGGTTTAGGAACTTCCTTAGCACAGCCGCTTGGGTTACAAGGTGCTGGTTAGAAACAAATGTGTGCTCTGTAGAAATAGTTTGGATTTTTATGGACTTCTTTCTGTCTTCCTTTTCCTCCCAAATGGTTGCAGGGGTTTGCCAAGAAACTGAACTTTGAGGCCCATTGTTTTGGAGCGGCCTTGGCTGTGAAACTTGAGTTTCACCTTGTGAAACTTTATTTCCAGCCAAGGCTGTCTGGATTATGGCTCTTAATCCAGGCGTTAGCCGAAACCAGGCATTTGAAGGCTTCTGGGCTTTTCATTTGATGCTTTCTCAAGACTCCTAGGAGTAGGAGAGAGCAATGGCTCCATTTCATGATGAAAAGGGAAACAGGTTTTCAGATATATATTTTTTTTTCATCCTAAAAAAACATTTTCAAAATTTTTCTTCTTCATGAAAATTTGGAAGTTCTGCTTCCCAGCAAAAACTAGCATGCTTGCCCCAGGGTGATGGGATTTTTTCATGGAACAGAAGGATGTTCTAAGTTTTAACCGGGTCTAATATTACAGGGCACAATAGGTAAGGATATGGTTTTTTAGCATTACAGCTAATTACCAGGGTTTATCTCCGTGAGGCTGTAGATGCTAGTGACAAGAACTTCTTGAATGTTCCACTACCTGATTGTAAAATGGTCAAACATTTCGATAGTTCTTCCACTTTTAAGTGGCTGAGTTTAACAATTTTGTTCCCTGGAGTAACTGTGTGCAGTTTAATTTTCTGACACATAAAAGCTGTGCAACTTTAGTTTCACACTCTTTTTTAACCTTTTGTTTAATGGACTGTGAACTTGGCTGTCTATGTAGAGGTTCTTTTTTTGTAAATTATAACCGATCCCTAACCTAATTGGAAAAGTGAAGTTAACTGAACTATAGCATTTCTTTAACTCCCTCTTCTTCTATGTAGTTGACAAAAAACGTAAGAAATGTTATCCTTGTAACTATCTTTACACAGTGGAAACCATTCTGCGTTTTGCTTCAGCCTCCTGTTCATCATACTGCTCTGTGCATTTCATAATTACCAAAAAGTAAAAGGTCACCTCTCTTGAGTGACAATATCTGGGATTAATTTATGACAGACTTTTCATTTGAATTGTATTTACGACGGTGAGACTAACTCAGGAGGTAGTAATGTGGATTTTTTCTTCCTTCCCTTGTACCCAGGGGACACGCTCTATTACCGATTTACTTCTGACATGAGTAACACTGAGTGGGGTTATAAGTTTACAGTGACAGCAGGTCATCTTGGAAGGTTTCAGACAGGTAAGCACCGCTCAGGATGTATCGGAAAGGACTTTTTCAAGTTACTTTGCCAAGCTTTGACAGACTTGTGCTTATCCCTTTTTTTGACTTAAAATTTCCTTTCTCCGCTGCTTTGGAAATAAAGTGATTAGTTTTGTTCAAGTTGAAACTTGACAGATGTCTCTTATTTGCTGAGACTTTGTGCTAGAAATACCAATCATTCGCAGAGGCATGGAGATAATTATAATAATGCTTTTTGCATTCAAAGTCTCATTATATGACAGTAATTACACACAGGATTTAGTAAACACTCCAAGGTGCTGTAATTGGAAACAGAAATAATTGTAATTGGGTTTTTAAAAAGTAGTTTTCTATTAGAATAGGCTGCTTCTGTATCTAATTTCTAGCATGAAAGCTTTTGTTAGTTTACTTTAGAGCTTAAATGTTTTTAAAGAAATTGAAGCTGGTGGATGACTTGCAATCAGCAAACCTACTGCATGTCACAGACCTCTGTTTTATTTCCCTTATTTGGGAAAAACTTTTATTTCAGATAGGATTTTCTAAGTTTTTTGCCCCAGAAAAGACTTGTGATGTCAGGATGTACTCTAGAACTATATTTTTGTGGCATTTTTGCTCAATACTTCTTACTTGCCAAAGCAATACTTAATGCATGGAGAAAACTGAGCATGTGAACAGAATGGGTCCCTACTAAAGTAACAGCTGTTTGAATTTATTTATTTTTTTTTTCCCCAGGGTTTGAAATTCTAAAGCAGATGCTGTCTGAGGAAAGGGTAGTTCCTCACCTCCCACTGGCCAAAATCTGGGAATGGCAGGTGGGGGTAGCGTGCCGTCAGACCGGCCACCAGCGTTTGAAGGCAATCCACCTGCTCTTGAAGATTGTGCAGTGCAGCGCCCAGAGGTGAGTGCGCTGTTCTGCGTTGTAACGCTAAAAGGCAAAGGGCAGGAGAAGAAAAAACGACTAAGCTGATAATATTTTGAAGTCAGAAAACCATGATTTCTAGTAGTATTGTGAATTTGCCGTTCCGATACAATTCGTAGTGCCTTGATAGCAGAAACTTATCTTAAGGGGTTCTTTTGAGAACATTTGCTCTTCTTTCTTGGCTTTTAAAAAAGGACCAATGAATTCAGATGTTGTTTTAAAAAAAAAAATTAAAAAAATTGCCCCAAAACAGGACAAAAAATAGATTTCATTTTCTAGAAATTTTCTCTTTGTATTAGTTGTACTTCAGAATTAAGTTGAGGATGGAATGATAAACTGGTGAAATGATGATAACTTTTAAATGATTATTTTTAGTTGCACCACTAAGCCTGTAATGGAGTTTCAGAAGGGATAGGTGTGCTAATGCTTAAGGAGGTATAGCACGGGCATTTCTTATGAAAATACACATTCAAAAGGTGTTGAGCTTTTATAGTGTCTTGAAAATGTGTACAGTCACATTAACTCAGAGATGCTGGAAACAAAGGCAACAATGCTGGAATAGTTATGCTTATCTCAGTTGTGTCCTTTGGGTTCAGAACAAGCAAAATCATGAAAATAACAGCATCTTACTACCTTGCTTGGATAAAGAGAAATCAAAAAGTATATTCACATATAGTAATAAAAATTGACAATTACACAGAACCATTACTTGACTTCAAATTTTACATACACTGATCTACATCCAAGTCTGAAAAAATAAGTTTGATATTACTTGTAATCACTGATTTATTATCTTTTCAAGTTCCCTTAGTTTTTTTCATCAGAAAATGTCTGCTTTGTCATGCAGACAACAAATTTAATTGCTAAAAGATCAAGTCTCTGTTATGCTTATAATATTTAATATTTTTCTTGTGTTAATCTGATGATAGACTCTGAAATCGAGTTTTCCCCCTTTTCCTCCCTAGTGAATGATATTTGTCATCCTCTCTGTATGATAAGTGACATTTGGATTAGCTAGCTTGTAACTCGGGAGTAGGAAGGAGGCAGGGTTGGAATTGTTTTTAAAGCTATATATGAATTTTTGTCTGTCTGCTCTAAATAAGGGCATCACCTGCCCTGTGCTGTAGTTCGGTATTGTATAATTTCAAGCAGTGGAGCTGCAGCATTTAGCAAAGTGATGTGTATATATATTTTTTTTAAAAGTCCTCATTTCAGGAGACCGCTCAATTTTAGAGAAGTCATTTAGACATTTGTGGATATGAGGTCTTCTCTACTTCACTGATTCAGAATGAAATTCACTGTGCTGAAACACCTGACTGAATTTAGATTTGGAAATGCTTCTTCTGTTTCTTCCTTTATTTATACATCTAACTGCCAAAACTGTGTGGTTTTATTCTCCTTAAATTTGTGCAGGTTTTCTTGTTTTTCTCCCCAAAACAGGCGTAAGATCATGGTTACTCACTATTTCATTCTAATTCCATTTAAATTGCTTTTTTTCAGGGACTGTGACCTCACCTTGTTGAAGCCACTTTGGCAGCTTTTCACCCATATGGAAAACAACTTGTGTCATGACATGGCCAAGCCTGGTATTCTCCTTCCTCTTCATCGAGCACTTGCAGAACTCTTCTTTGTTACAGAAAACAGAGTTACTGTAAGCAGTTCCTGTACTTGTATCCCCCTCTCCCCACTGCTGGGAGTGATAACGTAGTTCAGTGTTAAACTAAATGCAGTTTTCCTTTATCTTGGCAAAGTTCGTCAGAGCTTTAGAAACATTAAATGCTTCAGAAACGTTAACAGCTTTCTCTGGTGGAGTCTGGTAGCAAATTCTGATAGAGGATATCTTATATCTTATACTTACCCATCGTGGGACCTTAGGTGACAGTCGTGACTCTTCCCTCTGTGACTGAGGCAGTAGGTCCTAAAGCCACTCTTTATTCTGAGAGGAACGCTGATTTCATAGTTAATTTAAAGGTATTTGAATGTGGCTCTCCTTGAGTTGACTTTGAACATTATATATGAACAGACTGTAATGACCTGATTTCTGTGGTCACAAACTGTGTCCAGGAGAGTCTCGTGTGTAGTTCCGGTACCTTTGATTCATGGGGACTGCTGTAACGATCAGTGTTTTAATGTTAATTACTAGGATGGTGTCTTTGGTAGAAACGTTGGTGCTCATTGAATGCTTTCTGGCTGCAGGAGCTTGGATCTCTGCAGGAGTATTTGCTTGCCTTAAATACTGAAGATCATCTTCATCGCTGCACAGCACAGGTAATAAGATGGCCCAACCCCAGAGGAGTGTGTGTTTGTGATATTTTTCTGGCAGACGGAGATAATAAACGATTTCTGATTTCCCAGTGGAGTTTTATATAATAGATATGATTATACTTGGGTTTTACAATACCGTGACAGGCCTCTGAAATTTGGGAGTGAACTACGCGCAAATGCTCTTCTCCTTTAATGGTCAGATGATGTGCCGCACACGGGCTGGCGGGTGTCATCAGGTTTATCTGTTTTACCGGTTTGACCTCTCAACTGCCAAAACATGGGAATGGGGAAGGGACTGGTCTGTCAGCCCCTGGGGATGCAGTTGCCTTGCTGAAACTGCCTGGTTATTTATCTGTTACTGAAACTGGTTATTTATCTATTTCCATGTAATTTCGTACAAGGATTTCTTCACAGTTTTGGATTGGGGAGGATCTTTGACGTGACTTTATTTTTCCTTCTTTCTTCTAGGCCCTGAAAAACATTGCTGCTATCAGCCTTGCCATTAACTACCCAAACAAATCAACAAGTTTCTGGAATGTTTAATACTGGCTCAGGCCGGAGTGCATGGGATAGAGTAGTTTGTCCATAGGAACCTTGGAACAAACATCTTAACTCCGTTCAGGAAAAAGTTCCTTCAGCTTCAGTGTATGAGCACTCTGCAGCCTTCCTTCCTTCCACCTTGATGTAGAATTTGTAAAAGTAAAAGCGCACTTCAATGAAAAAGCACATCTTGAAGTAACTCACGCGTCGCCTACAGTTATGTATGCACATATTGTAGCATGTTAGAGTAAACAGAACAATATTTTTTTTCTATTCAGAGGAAGTAATCGAAAGAAGGTAGCTGAAGTATGAGAATGGAAGGCCCCCACGGTGGTATCATCTGCTCCCAAGGACACTTGATTGATGGAACGTGACAGCTTTGAAAATACTGCTGAACTCGGAGCGATGCCGTCAGCAGCATCTATTATATATCACTGAAGTGAAAAAGGCAAACCAGAATCTGGTGGGCTGATGCGGAAATGGTCCACGCTTGAATCCTGTCATGTTTGCTGTTGTTTTGAAGGCTACTACCCAAGGAAAAGAACTTTGATTCTTACTAAACTACAGGTTGTAAAATGAATTCTGGGTGATTTGCATGGCAGTTAAAGGATTCCCGTTTCAGAGCATCCTCGTGCAAGAGCTTAATGTTCCTCCTGTTCTTTGATTTGATCACCCGGATCATCTATTCTTACCTTAATTTATCTCCGATGTGTTATTCTAAATAGTCCGTTATTTTAGTGCAGAGAGCAAAGGCCGGCCTCCATTCGCAAAGCCGTGGGCATATGAAGAACTGGGGAACGTACATGTTTCTCAAAGATCACATCTTTACAACGTACTATCCATGAGGCTTTTTTCTCTTAATTATTTTGATACTAGTGGCTTAGGAGGTCCTTCTCGGCGATGTTGGGAACCCGGACTCCCAGCGCTCAGGGCGGGGGTTAATGATCAATCCAGTCTTATCTTATAGAGCAATAACTGCATTACTCTTAGCGAACATGGAATGAATTGCAGACCGTCTATGCTAAAATAAATTGGCTTTCTTCCTGCTCAGCTACGCTGGTTATTCCCTTTCCGAAGAGTTAAAAAGAACATAGAAGGATTTGGGGGTGTATTTTTTTACCGTTAAAATGTATGTAGAATGGGTCTTGTCAAGTATGAATTCAGAGAACTTTTTATGTTAATTTTTTTCTTCTTCCCTTCCTCACCTCAACATTAGAATATGGAAAAAAAAAGGCAACCAAAAGCTTCAATAGTAATTGTGAATGTAAGTTGTGTAAAGGCAGTGGCCCTGTCAGAAGGGAATATGATTATTGACCTTTTTCTGTCCAAAAGGTGAGTGGTGCCTAAATAGCGATGTGCAGCGTGCACAGCAGCACCGCTTTGGGGGATGACCTATGAATTGATGGTCTTATGAGCTGGGACTGGAATTTTAAGGGTGGTCCAATTTCCCTCTGAGAGGGAAATGTGCAGTAATGCATCCACCCCCTTTTTCTTGGATGGTCTCTAGTGCTGTGGTTAAAGATGTTTTGACTTCTGTTCAGGCAGGTGAGTGCAAAGTAAATGCTTCTTCAGGGGATGAGGTTGAAGGAGACTGTGATTATTCTGCCTGAAAGACTTAAAAGTGAAGACCAAGAAGCACTATGCTGGAGCCGTTGCCTTCAGGAGTGGAGTGGCCCTCTTAGCAAACGAGAAGTACATTTTTCCTGAGTTCTGGCATATTTATCAAAGACTGAAAGGAAGTGGAGAGATACTGCTCCGAAACCCCTCGAGTATACTGTAGTGAAGGTTAAAGCCCTCCTTCCTTCCTAAATGAGATGATGGTGGGAAGGGAATTACCGAAGCTGTGGTGTATCTTTAACGCATGGATCATTTTGTTCCCACGTGCGAGTAACGTATTTGAGTTTGCAGTCTCGCTGCAGGGGTGTCCGAGAGACCCCCGAGGAACCAACTCTTTCACACTTTCTGATAGCACGAACAGAGTCTGAGAATGAGGATTTTCTCCACCAACTCGAGACGTTCTTAGGTCTGCTCTAGGGAGTCGTATCGATGGGACAGGTGAGCGTTTTGAAATTGCTCCTCTTGAGCAGCAGGACCTTCTATTCACTGCCTCCGTGTGAGTCTGTGGCTAAGCAGCCAGGGATGTGCAATGGGCTGATTCGCTAAGGCGTGTAGCATGCTGCTGAGATCCGCCTGGTTTAGTCAAAGAAGGCTTTTTTTTTTCTTTTTTTCACATCAGGGATGAAGACTGTAAATAAACCATTCGTAGAACCTGTCATGGCTCTATCGTAGTCACATTATTTTTTTTTTTTCCGTCGGACTGTCTTTTTGCTTTCTGTCTGAAGACGTGAGGCTGCAAGGATGACACAGGAGTGGCCAGTGTTCCTTACTAGGCGTACCACTTAACTTACTCTACCAGCAGTAACTGGCCTTGTGAGTCAGTCACCGTGCCCCGAAGGGACTGTCGAGGAACAGTGTCCACTAAATATAATTTCTACCCACTAGATGGAACTGAAGGACCGTGACCTGAGTTGACACTGAATCTGTTGCTGCCTTACAACTCGATCATTCATTATGGATTTTTTAAGAGACAAGAAACACTGATTGATTTTTTTTTTTTTTTTTTTCTTCTGGTAGTTTTAAAGAAAGAAAGGAAGAGAATGCCAATAATGAATATTCATGATCAATCACATTTTGAAAATCCTGCAGCAGTTCCAAGTGGATGCAGATGATACTATTGAATAGTATAAAACTGTCTGGAGAACAGGTATGCTGAAAAAAATGTGCCTAATATAAAAAAAACAAACAGAAAGTTGTCCTGCCTGAATCACCTACGATGTGTTTAAAACAAACCATATTGTTCCTAATGATACATTTGACTTGCTTTCATTAAACACTTAAAAAAGAGAGTTTTATAATTTCTTTTCTTACGGGTTTACTACTTTGCAATTTTTATCAGTTGTTTAAAATATATCAGACCTTTAGATTTATTCCAGTTCAGTTCAACATGTAAAAAGAAAGCTACAGATGTGGGTAAAATATGCAAATGAAGAGAAATATATTGTAAAAATTCTATAAAAACAAAAAAGTACACCACAGTGTCTGTTGTTTGTTTGCTTTGCTCCTCTCCTCACTGAATGGTAAACGCTTGAAGTCGCAGTGAGATCTCGGGGGTTTCTTCCTGATCTTTATTGTCAGTGCCTGTAAGCAAACCCGCTTTTCCTCACGCGTATCTCTGGTATTGTATCGAAGTGTTGGGGATACATACTTCTGGAGCGGTCTCTTCAATTCCAGCCCTGCTGTTTACATTCCAGTGGCCTTATCCTAAAAATCAAGTTTTCCCGTGGATATCCAGTGGTTTCAGTGCCTGCGACTGTTTACTTTCAGCCCTGAAACCCACATCTGGGTCCCCAGATGTCTCATGTAAAGCTGAAATTAGTCTTAGTATCTCTCCATTCTAATTAGCGGTGATTCTAATTAGCGAAGGTACTTGCACCTACCTAGTCCAACAGACTTGGTTCAAAAGCTTATTTACCTGGGGCTTGGCTCGAGGAAGGGCTGTGCAGGGATGCGTGAGCGAGGAAGTTGACATCTTTGTGTATTTACCTAAAGCTCGAAGTTTCCGCTGGTTCCACGTGCTCAGAGAATGGTCTGTCTTGGTAATTTTACTAAATACAAATAAATAGTGTGATTGTGCAGTTGTGGGACAGCGGGGAGCGTTCCCTGAGACAACCAGGTTTGAGGTTCCAGCTGGTGAAAGTGGTGATGAATCTTAACAAATTCAGTTTAATCTGCTGTTAATTAATTCCCGCGCTCCGGGAGCGCGGTCCCGGGCGGTGGAACGTAACAGAGGTCACAACCATAGCGCTTGGGAACCCCTGGTTTTCAGACCAAATTAATTAAGACCGTTTTTCTTCCGAGAGATCAAAATTAAGCTGCAAGCTAACTTGGAGGTGGGTGAGGGTTTTTTTTTTTTTTTAAACCTCCTTTTTAAGAGAAGGCTACACTACGTTTAAAATGCTACGCTGTGTTTAAAAGGGAACTGGCCCAAACGCCCCGAGTTCTCCCAGCCAAGCTGGGATGTCCCGCTTCCAGCGGGTCTTGTATCTTTGCAAACATTAGGCCGACCCCTGTCCTTTTATACCATTTTAAATCTGGAGTGACTGTCCACAGCTCCGCGAAGGCGCCCCGCTATAAAATCTGGGCGCGCTGGAGCAGAGTGAGGCCAAATAACCTGAGTCGGTACTTTCCCTTTCTAATGATGAATGTGGTTTCTTGCGACCAGAAGCGAGTGGTGCCGGCTATCTGCTGGGGAAGGCGCCAGCACAAGCACCGTACCGTGTTTTCAGGGGACAAACAACCACCGCAACCATGGGAGCCGATAAAAAAACATGACCTGCTCCTTAAGTAAAGCTACTAAAATGTGGGGAAACAGAATAATTTACGTAAAGAGGATGCTTTTCGACGCTCGGCCGGTTCGTCTGTAGGAGGTCGGGCTGGATAATAACTGGAACAAAGAACGTGCATTGGTAAAATGGCCTGGAAAAACAGGAACTGTGCTGGGCTTTGTAGGGGGAAACAGAAATCTGGCCCACCTCTGAATTTAAAGCAAAGAAGTCAATTCCCATTCAAGTGAATAAGAGAGAAATCCACTGTGAATAGGGAAGGAATTAAGTAAGAGGTGAAGGAAGTAAGATTAAAGCTCATTCTTTCCATGACGGTCAGGTCTAATTTAATCAGGTCTTATTCTGCTGTAGTCTTTCCTGATTTTCACCTAAGAAAGCACGAATAGCTGATACCCAGCTCAAACCCGGGCTGCAGCGTTGTGGTGGGGCTCATAAATGGGTGTGCGGTCTAAGGAGGTATGAACATGTTAAAAAAAACCAACAAACAAGCAAAAAAACCCCCAAACAAACCAAAAAACCCCCACACCCTAAAAACCTTATTTCCTCCAACTGGGAACAACAACAAGGATTCCTGATAAATCGATGGAAACCTCCGACAGGTTTGTACTGCTCCTTAGCCTGTAGAGATTTGTTCTTTTCATACTCAAGGGCTGAGAACGTTTGGATTTAGGGAACGTGGGAAAAGAAGTGGAGAAAGGATAACTGAGGTGTCTTGGAGATGGGGGCTTTCCACCGAAGCGTTAGGCAGTTTGCTGCAGAGGTTCTCTTACTAATGCTTTTCGGACAACTTTAATGATTTTCGTTAAAAAAAAAAATAACCAACTACGTGTTTCTTGCTTCCACTCCCCACTTTATAGTCTGGCTTTCCAGAAATCTTACTGCTTTTTTTTTTTTTTTCTTTTTTTCATTTGCTGTGCAAATAACAAATGTTTAAGCTTGCATTGCATGGAAAAAGTCAATTTTATGAGGACTAAAGAAATGTGAAATATTTGCCAGTGGTACCTTCTCTCGGGGGGATTATTTCCAAAACACTTTGTTAGCGTCTCCTACCACCCGTATCATCGAAGGCGCTTACTCCAAGCCATTGTGATACCTGCACACGAGTGAGAGCTGGACGAGATGCTCCATTTCATACCACCTCTGGCAGCGCACACTCTCTCCTCTCTCCACAAGCGCTCCGGAGAGCGTTCCCCATCCCGACCTGCAAAAGACTGGGGTTTGGCTAATTGTGGTGGG